CTGCACTGGGTCTGTCTGCAGCCGTGGGGCGGGGGCGGGCGGGGGTGGGTTGGTCAGATGTCAAGTGCCCTGAGCACCCTGTGTCCAGCCCCTGGAGCCTCAGCCCTCAGCCCTGCCCTCGGTGCTGTGGCAGCTCGCTGAGCGGCCCCACGTGGGCAGAGGATCCCAACCCCAGCCTCACAGCCTGCCTGCCCCCTCGGCCCAGGTGACTGGCACCTTTTCCCCTCGGAACTTTTGCTGAGGGCAGAAGGGGGACCGAGTAAACCAATCAATAAATAGGTAAAGTGATCCAAGACTGTGATAAGAGCTATAAACAAAACAGCTGCAAAAAAGAAAAGAAAAGAAAAGAAAAGAGCTGCCAAGGGTTGGCTCAGTCGTGCCCCCATTGGGAGGCGTCAAGAGGCAGCCGATCAATGTTTCTCATTGATGTTTCTCCCTCTCTCCCTCTCCCTGCCTCTCTCTCTAAAAAATAAATAAAAACATTAAAAAAATATGTTAATTGTACAAGAAATATAAATCAAAGTATATTAAAATTAGGAACTTTACCAAAATAAGCCATTAATGTGCTCGCTCTGGCAGCACATATATAAAATTAACCATTAGGAGAATGAAAAGGCAAAGCACAGAGTGGAAAAATATGTTCATATTGATCGACAAGGTGCTCATATACCAAATATGTAAAGAACTACAAAGCAGTATGAAAAAGACAGGGAAGTCAACATAAAAATTGGGGGGAAAACTTGAACAGAAATTTCACAGAAGAGGATTTCCAAGTGGCCAAGGGCCAAATGAAAAAGGGCTCAGCTTGATTGGTCCTCAGGGAAATGTAAATTAAAGCCACATAAAAAGCAGGTCCCTGGTTGTTTGGGGTCAGGTGTGGGGGGAGGAATGGCTACAAGTAGGCACTAGAGAACCTTGTGGGGTGACGGAAATGTTCTAAAATTGGACTGTGGTGACAGATACTAAAAATAATCAAACTGAATGCTTACAATGGGTGCCTTTTATGGTACCCAGACAGCGCCCAGAGAATCATATCTCAGTAAAGCTGTTTTGAAAAACATAAATAAGAACCAAGATGAGGGACCTTTACGCACCTACCAGAATGGCCACAGTGGAGAAGAAAGGAAATGCCTTGTGCTGGTGAGGCTGTGGAACCACCCTGCTGAGGGGTGTCAGTTGGTACAACCACTTTGGAAAGCTGTTTACCTACCACAGTGTCTGCCCTGGGACCCAGCAATTCCGCTCGGGGTATGCGCCCTACAGAAATGTGTACCTGGCCCTGGCCGGGTAGCTCAGTCGGTTAGAGCATCGTCCCCATACACCAAGGTTGCAGGTCCAATCCCCAGTCAGGGCTCATACAAGAGGCAACCAATAAATGCATCAATAAGTGGAACAACGATTCCCTCTCTCTCTAAAATCAATCCATATATAACTTTTTAAAAAAAAGTTAACTTCCCCATTTCTTAAAGAAAAGAAATGTGTACCTATGTTCACCAAAAGATATATGAAATGTCATAGTCCTGTTCTTTTTTAAAAAAATATATTTTTTTATTGATTTCAGAGAGGAAGGGAGAGGGAGACAGAAACATCAATGATGAGACAGAGTCATTGATGGGCTGCCTCCTGCACACCCCCTACTGGGGATCGAGCCCACAACCCAGGCCTGTGCCCTTGACCAGAAACAAACTGGGGACCCTTCAGTCTGCAGGCTGACACTCTATCCACTGAGCCAAACCAGCTAAAGCTGTTGCTGTTTTACAAACCTACCAGGACTATTTAACTCCTTAAGCCATCCTATATCACTTTAACAAAAATTTAATTAAAAAGACACACAAAAAGAACAACGAAGACCAAATGGGTTTTAGATATTAGGCAGCAGACCACATGGAGCAGCGATCTCTGAAAAGGGGAAAAAGGTGACTCCTCCGATCGCCCCACCCGACCTCCTGGAGAGTTTCTAGGCAGCGGCACGGGGAGGAGGCCCCACACGCAGCTCAGCATCACCCCTGAGCGAGGAGACGTAGCTGAGAACCAGGGAGTCCGAGGCAGCCAGAGTCACAGGACAGAGTACTGGAGAGGAGACAGTGCCTGCACTGAGAGAGCCTGGGGTCAGCAGAGGTCTCCTCTGGAGTCCTTAGCTGAGAACCGATGAGAGTATGTGTGTAAGGCAATGACCCGCGGCTGGTGGGAGAAACTTCTGGAAGCAGCAGGGGAACATTTCTCAGCCCTCACGTAGGGTGGGCACATCCACATTCCTAACAGCCAGGCGGAGAACTCGCGTCATCCATGGCGCGTCAGATGCTCGGAAGCCGTTCCCTTTGTGGGGGGTAAGTTAGCCCTGGATTAAAGGCTGCTCTGGTCCTGTCATTAATAGTCAAGCCTTGGAAGGACCAAACTGCTCCCAAACATCTTCACTTCCTCCCCAAACGAATTGTATGAATATTGAAAGGGCTGCCCTGGCTGGTTTGGCTCACTGGACGGAGCGTCAGGCCATGAGATGTTCGAACATGGATTGTGATGGTCGCACAACTCTGTGAATAGACCGAAAGCCATTGGCCTGTACACTTCAAATGGACAAATCATATGATATGTAGGAGTTATTTCTCAGTGCAGCCTCGTCATCACCACAGCAACAAGTCTGACCATGTAGTGTGGGCTTGGGCATGTGGAGAAGTGAAAGGCGATACCAGGAGGGAAAGGGAAGTATCCTGTTGTGAGGTTCTCAGACTCTGTGTGAAGCAGTAATATTACTAGATGGTAATAGTATATGTGTGCTAGTCCCAGCCGGCTTGGCTCAGTGGACAGAGCCTTGGCCTTCGGACTGAAGGGTCCCGGGTTCGATTCCCGGTCAGGGCACATGCCTGGGTTGTAGGCTCGATCCCCAGCGTGGGGCATGCATGAGTCAGCTGATCAATGATTCTCTCTCATCATTGATGTTTCTACCTCTCTCTCCCTTTCCCTTCCTCTCTGAAATCAATAAAAATATTTTAAAAAATAGTATCTGTGTGCTATAACCCCTAAAGCAGTGGCTGAAAGGAAAAAAAAGCATAGCTAATAAGCTACTATAATAGAGATAAAATGGAATATGAAAATTACTCAATCCAAGAGGGCGGGAGAGGCAAGAGAAGGAGATAAGCAAGTCCCCAGGGGGCGGAAGGGGCTGGGAGAGGGGAGATGGTAAGGGTGGAAGGAACTGGGTGGGGGGAGGGTGGAGAGGGTGGGAGAGAAGCACTGAGGTCACAGTGGGCAGAGACAGATGGGCTGGGCCTCGGGGAATGGCAGCTGGGACCAGAGGCAGCCCAGCAGCCTTTGGCCGGTCCCAGGCGCGAGGTGACCGAACGTGTGTTGGCAAGTTCATTCCTGAGCTGTGTGGAGGTGGGAGGCCCTGGGAGGCCCGGAGAGAGTGATGGCTGGACAAAGAGACAAGAGAAGAGCGGGTGGCTTGGGCTTCAGTTAGAGGGAGAATCAGCAGGACACCTGAGGGAGGGTGGGAAGGTGGGGGGACCCAGAGTCCCGCTGCCCGCAGGGCCGGAGGGGCCTATGCAGGTACCTGAGCAGAGGTGGCCACTTGGACACGCGAGTCTAGAGCTCGGGGGAGAGAAGTGGGGTGGCTATAAAGAGCACGCAGACGACACTTAAATCTGTAAGACTGAGGATTCCTGGGAGAAGGGTGGAGAGGAGGAGGCAGGGATGGAGCCGGGGGCTCACCAACTCCCAGCGGCCGCGGAGGAGGGAAGGGTGGCTGAGGAGCCGGCAGGGCAGCAAGAGACACGGCGCTTGGGGGTCACGAGTGGCTGAGAAACACGTGGGCAGGAAGTGAGCAGCGGACAGACAGACAGACAGACGAGGCAGGTCGCCTCAGCAGGTGCTCTCCCGGGCGGAGGGGACGGCAGACACCAGGACAGATTTGGACGAGGAGAAGGGGATGAGCGAGCACCCAGGAAAGGCGGGGAACCAGGAGACAGGATTCCGGGGAGAAGGGACATGCAACCCCAAGGCTCTGCAGACAGCGAGCGGCCCTGGTTAGAAGTTCTTCAGTGAAGGGGACAGAGAAGTGGGTGGAGGGAGTGCCTGTGGGCCTTGCAGAGGGACGCATGGCGCCTGGGGGTGGCCAGTGGCGACAGGAGCCAGGAGGAGACAGGCGCACTGGCACGGCCGCAGCGCTGCCTCCTCCAGGAGGCCTTCCCGGAGCCGAGCAGGCTTCCCAGGCGCACACACCACTGTCTACACGGATGTGGGGTCATTATCTCCCCGATGCCCTCGCATCCGCCCAGGCCCAGAGTTCATGAACGGGTGTGGATGGACAAATGGACAGAGAGACAGACGCTGACAAGTCTCTGAGACCCCTGACCCTAGGTCCCCAGGTCTCACTGACCCAGCCCTGCTCCCCTGGCCCCGGCCCACCTTGGGATCCAGGTCGAAGAAGCTGTAGTACTTGAAGCGCAGCCAGAGCGTGTCCCCGGCCTTGATGCCCTGCTGCATGAGGCACCGCGACGAGTCCAGCCACCTGGTGGCGAGGCAGGGGTCAGGGCTGAGCTCCGGACAGCGCTGGGGCGGGTTGGGGCTGGGCAGGGGCTTGGGGGCGAGCACACACATATAGGAAAGGCCTGGGAACAGGAGGCATGGATCTGGGGTGAGCAGGACACAGAGGGTGGGAGCCCGGGGAGTGGGAGCACCACAGGGACGTGGCCCAGGAGCAGCCGGCAGGCGGGGCACCTGCTGTGCAGCTGGGTCTTGTCCAGCAGGGAGCTGGGCCGAGGCAGGCGCTGCAGCAGGAGGGGGTCGGGCGGCGGCTGAGGCCGGCTCAGCATGTGGTAGCAGGCCTCCGTCTGGGCGCTGTCTGAGAAGTGGGCTGGCATCCCCCGGAACAACGCAGTCGGTGCTCACCCCCAGCCAGGACGACCTTGGTCAAGTCATAGACCTCCTCCTCCGGCTCCTTCTCCTTCTTCTTCTTCTCCTTCTTCTCAGGAGCCCGGAGCAGGGACAGCTCTTCAGGGTGCCGGATGCCTGCGGGAGCTGGGGCCTCAGCGGGGACCAGGCCCCCACCCCCCCCGTGGCCTCCTGCCCCCTCCCCACATGGGCACTTTGGGGCAGGCCAGCCCTGCAGGCAGGATGGGGACCAGGGTGGCAAGGACAACATGACAGTAGCTGGGCCTGTAAAGGGAGGGACCAGGCCCCTTGCAGGACCCTTGCAGGGGGACAGGGGGGATGGAGACTCACTGAGGAGGCGGCAGATGGCGGCCACAGCCTGGAAGAGGGGCTGGGAGAAGCTGGCTCGGAGGCGCAGAGCTCGGCGATTGGGCAGCCGCAGGAGGATGGGCCGGTGCTGGGGCCCGAAGAAGAGGCGGGCGTCGGCCAGGATGCCGTACTTATCCAGCGTCCAGTGGGTCTGCAGCAGCCACTGCTTCTTCTGCTCCCACCAGATGGCGTGGTCCGACCAGTCCTGTTTGCGATCTGCGGCCCGGGAAGCAGGGGCGGGTGAACATCAGCCCGGAAGGCCTGCCCCCAGCGCTGGGCACAGCCTGGGACTCAGAGGCCTGAGGCGATGTGCCCTCCCCTGCCCAGGCCCAGGGCAGGGCCAGGCTGTCAGTCCCGCCTCCACAACCCGCCCTCCTGTCAGTCCTCAGTGCCGACCACCACAGGAGGCTGGCCCCCTGCCTCCGCCCACCCCCACCCGAGGGACCTGCCAAACGTCAGCCCTTGCCCGACAGTCCCTTGTGTGGTGCCCTCCGCCTCCAGGAGAGTCCGACTGCTGTATGACGGCCTGTAGCACTCCAGGAGTCCCCCCCGCCCCGGCCTAGGTGCCCACGTCAGAGCACCTCTGCCTGATCTCGGCTGGTCTCCCTCTTCCCTGCTGGGGCCCCTCTCCGGACTCAGGAGGCGGCTTCTCCTGTGAGCCCCCTGCCAGGCTGGGGACAACCTCTCCTGGTCCAGGCCCCACGCTGGCTCCCGTGCTGCCCTGCACTCAGCAGCCGCCATGCTCCAGGAGGCCAGGGGCTGGCGTGGCCCCGCTCAGTGGAGCCCGAGGAGTGTCTGAGGCCCTAGGTCAGTGGTCAGCAAACTCATTAGTCAACAGAGCCAAATATCAACAGTACAACAATTGAAATTTCTTTTGAGAACCAAATTTTTTAAACTATATTCCAACTCTCCCATCCACACTCGTCTTGTTTACTTGTTTCCGATAGACGAGTGTGGATGGGAGAGTTGGAAGGGGTCGACCTCAGCATGTACCTCAAAACAATGTACCTCCCCTGCGCTGCGTATCCCGCGGCCACCTGCGCCCGTCTCCTGTCGCCCGATCGACACCCCCCACTTCTTCTAACGCCACTTCTTCAAAATAGACTCGCGCAGGCCGAAAACCGACTTCTGCGCATGGGCCACGAAGTTTCAATCGCACTGTACGTGCCCACACGTGGAAGAGCCACACTCAAGGGGCCAAAGAGCCGCATGTGGCTCCGAGCTGCGGTTTGCCGACCACTGCCCTAGGGGATGAGCAGGGACAGGAGGGTGGGCACAATGTCCCCATTTCAAGGACTCGGAGCTGAAGGACTGCCTCAGGGAGCCCTGCAGTGGGTGGAAGGAGTGGCTTCCGTCTGTCTGTCTGTCTGTCTCCCTGTGTAGGCCTCTGGCGTTGCCATGTGCTGTGCCCGGAGGTCAATCAAGTCAGCCCTGGCTCCCCCCACCCTGCCTGCTGCCGGCTCCTGAGGGACCCCCTGTTCCCAACTTTTGCTTCCGCAGCCTCCTTGGGCCCTGCCTCTGGAAGCGCCCTCACACCTCAGCCTTTTGGCCGAGCTGTCCTGGGGCCCTGGCCTGTCCTGCTGACCTCCCTCCCAGGAGGCACGTGGTCGGTTGGCTGGGTCTGAGAAGGCCCATGCACCCCGCCCGCAGGCCACATGGCCCCCGGCTGGGCGATCACAGGCCTGCTGTCCAGCCCTGGCTATCGGGGTGTGCCTACCGCCCTCCAGGAAGGGCAGTGCGCACCCCAGCAGGGAAAGGTGATGGATGTCACTGCCCTGCTCCTTTCAATGGCTGAGACCACAGACTGCTCTGCTGCAACTTCCTGTGGGGGCAGGGCCTTCCCACCCAGGCTGGGCCGTCACCAGCCTGTGAGGGCTTCCGCCTGGGGAGGAGATGTGGGAGCAGAGCCCTGCGGGCTCCCTCAGACCCCCCGTGTGACCCTCCCTCAGCCCAGGCGAGGCCCCTAGAAGTGGAGGAATGGAGGATGTGGCCGGGCCTGCTCCTCGGGGACTTAGCAGAACCAGCTGGAGTGGGAGGGAGCGAGCGAGGGAGGGAAGACAGTGGGAGAGGGGAAGTGGGGGAAATGTCTTTTTTGGAACCAAATGATTAAGCTGGTGCCTGAGTCACTGTGACACCGTTATCTGTCGAGGGCTGTGCAGTGGGGACGCAGGGGAGCCACCCGCGGTGCTGAGGTCAGCACAGGGCCGGGCACTCACTGATCTCCTCCACGATCTTGAGGAGCACCCCGCCGATGTGCGACTCCCCCGTGACCCGGAGGGTGACCGACTCAGCCTCGGGGTCCTCCTCTCCCACAAACACCCGCAGCTCCCAGGACGAGTCGATGTAGTCCCCGGTGGCCGTCTTCATGCCTGCCATGGCTGCGGTGGCTCTGCAGCGGGTGGGGAGGAAGCAAAGTGGGCAAGGCGCTGGGCCTGGTAGGCTGCCTGGGTTCAAGTTGAAGAGGCCCCACGGTCCCCTGGACAGGGGTGTGTGTGTGTGTGTGTGTGTGTGTGTGTGTGTGTAACCCACAGGCCAGTACACCACAGCAACGGCGAGACACGGAGTGCTGAGTTGTTCCAGGCAAACCTCAGACCTTCTCGTCATCACCATGGTTAAACTGCAAGGACCCTCGGAGACCATGTTGTCCAACCCACTCCCATCTTACAGATGGGAAGATTGAGGCCCAGTAAAGAGTAAGAAGGGGCTCACTCAAGAGCACCCCGCTTGATGGCAGAGCTGGCACAACCTCCACCTGCTTTCCCAGTTCACACTCACCCCAAGCCCACACGGGCAAGCTGCCACCCTGGAGATGGTTGTAAACCCAGGTCAGAGAATAATTCCAATCCTGGCCCGAAGGTGAGATCCGCACATCCCAGCCCAGCCCGCCTCTCTAGGAAAGTGCAGGCTGCGGCCTGGAGAAGGCCATGGGGCCGGGGGCTGTGGGAGGAGGGCGGGGAGGAGAAGGGCCCATCTTACCTTGCCTGCAAGGGGCTGGGGCTGCAGGCGGAGCGTTGGAGTGTGAGCCAGTCCTGGCCTCAGCCCGCACACCTGCAGACGGCTGGGTGCCTCCTTCTCCTCCGCTTTCTCTTTGGAGCTTCCTTCAGAGGGCAGCCCTGGCCTCTTACGCAGGGCGGGCTCAGCCCCTCCCCAGGGCGGGCTGGTGGCTCTGGGTTCAGGAAGCAAACTGCCAGCCACAGCTGAGGGCTACAGGGTGGCCCCGCCTTGGCTCCCAGTAGCACAGGAAGCCAGCGAGGAGTGAGGCTGGTGGACCCAACGCCACAAAAGGGTCCCCTCTCGGGGAGGGCTGCTCAGTTCAAGAGAAGCCATCAATTTGTGCTCATGGCCAGGCCCCCTGTTGGAAGGGCCCCAGCTTTTCCTGCCTGCAAGGGGCTGGGGCTGCAGGTGGGGGGTTGGAGTGTGAGCCAGTCCCGGCCTCAGCCCGAACACCTGCCGGCGACTGGGTGCCTCCTTCTCCACCCCGTTCTCTTTGGCGCTTCCTTCAGAGGGCGGGTGCCTTTGGGCCATGAAACACCACCGGGTGCCAAGGAGAGGCATGGAAGTGAAAGGATTGGATCCAGTTTAGGGCTTGGCGGGTCAAGTCAGCCCAAGACTCAATGTTCCTTATCACCACAAGGGCACTTGAAGAAGGCCTGGGGGAAAACAATGTCCTTGTCTTTCCTGTCCCCAGTAAGGGCCTCTATTTCCAAACTTGTCCGTCTTAGAGCTGCTCTGGGAAACAGCTGAACAGACTGGCCCATCATTCACAACCTCCCTGCCCCAGGTGCTCCCCTCCCACCCCAGTACCCGGAGGCTCACTCCTGTCAAGCTCCTCCCCAAAGGTGACCTCAGGGTCCCTGTAGCCCAACCTCTTCCCGCCCAGCCTTGCACTGGGATGGGAGCTTTGGAGAGCTGCGCTGTGCTGCCCGAACTTGGCCTTTCCAATTTAGGGCTGGAGGGAACTGAACCTGCAGAGACAGTGGCACCAAAGATGCAGACTCCCTGAGGATAGGCTTTCTGAGCTGCCACCCAGGTGGGGAGGGGCCGCGGGGACTCCCAGGGGAAAGCCATTTTATGCAAAGTCAAGGCAGCAGGAAGTACAGCCAGCTGCTGGCCTCAGCGGTTCCTAGCCCAGAAAGCTACTCTTGGAGCAAAAGAGGAAGTTTTACTCCTGCCCCAGAAGCAGTCTCAGTCCAAGAGTTTTAGAAATAGTCTGTTGTGACCATGGACAAGTGTAACTAAAACCTACTACTTTAAGCCCAGTTGAGAGCAGTGAGCTATTTTTAAAAAATACATTTTTATTGATTTCAGAGTGGGAGAGAGCTAGAAACATCAATGATGAGAATCTTTGATTGGCTGCCTCCTGCACGCCCCCTACTGGGGATCAAGCCCGCAACCTGGGCATGTGACCTGATCGGGAATTGAACTGGGACCTCCTAGTTTATAGGTTGATGCTCAACCACTGAGCCATGCCAGCTGGATTCATCATTGATGTTTCTATCCCTCTCCCTTCTGCTCTCTAAAGTCAATACAAACATAAAAAACAAAACCTAAAACTAACATATAGCTGCTGACAGATCTGATCTCCCCAAAACAAGTCCAAAGCAAGTCTTGCAATGGAGGTGGTTTTGGTTCGCAGGTGGAATAGTGTTCTCTGGGTGGAGTTGGCTTCTGGTTTGAGATTGAGTGTGAAGAACCGACAGCATAGGAATCACCAGAGTTTGTCTGAACTTGGCCACTGAGTAGGGGTGACTCCAAGCTCCCTTTCAGTTTTCATTGAGTGACAGCACCACCTAGTGACCGCCTCGGCAAAGCAGTGTGACCAAGGCAAGCTCACACTGACCCACACATTAGAAAAAGGCCCTGGTCCTGTCATCAATTCACACACCTCTCCCCATCCAGGTGGACGCCAGAGGACAGCCACTTAAAGACTTTTGTTTTTATTTAATGATTGATTTTTAGAGATGTTGATTTGTTGTTCCACTTATTTATTCATTCATTGGTTCTTTCATTTTTTTTTAAAACACATTTTTGTTGATTTCAGAGAGGAAGAGGGAGAAACATCAATGATGAGAACCACTGATCGGCTGCCTCCTGCATGCCCCCTACTGGGGATTGAGCCCACAACCTGGGCATGTGCTTTTGACTAGAATTGAACTTGGGGCCCTTCAGTCCGCAGGCTGACACTATCCAGAGCCAAACCGGCCAGGGCTCATTGGTTGATTCTTGCATGTGCCCTGACCAAGGATCAAACTCGCCACCCCGGTCCATCAGGATGATGCTCTCACCAACCGAGCTGCCTGGCCAGCGCCCACTTGGAAGTCTTTTGGCAGAAAAATTACTCAAGGACATCACAAGGCATAACCACGCCTGACTGGCTTGTTTTATTGGAGAAGGGGACTCGGAGTTAACAATGTGAAGACAGTTGGGACCTGAGGTTGGGAAAAATACCCTCCCTTCCCCATTCATGCCCACTGCCCCAAATAAAAAATAACCAACTATGGGAGGGCAGCTGAGACAGCGACTGGGAACAGGGGACAGAGACATGGAACTCGAGGGCAGCGGAAGAGACCATGCATGTGCTGGGAGGTCCCAGAGGCAGCGGCTATAGAGTAACGTGGGTACAAGTCTCTGTATCTTCCACACAGGTCTGTATAAATATATAGAGATAAGTTGTTTGCTTTCCCCCTTCTCTCCCTTCTGCTCCGTGCTGCTTGCTGCGGTCCCAGCTCCTCTTTCCACACGAGGACAGAGGGAAGAGGGATGATGGGCAAGTCATCACCGAATTGCGATCAGACCCACATCCATCAGCTTCTGGATCTTCTGTGCTATTACAGGATTCTTTAAGTGTCTGATGAAGAAGAGACAAAGCTTGAAATGAGACTTAACATAAGAGAAGCCTTACTTGTTCTTGGAGCAAGCCCCAGTGCACACCCCTTAGAAGGTATCGACAGGAGGTGGCTGAGGACAAGTTCTGGCAGGAGAACTGCAGAGGCCTTCACTGCTATGCAGCCAGAACCTAACCAGTCCCACTTTATGGGGACAGCTTTAAATGGAGACCATTCTCCCAGCAAAATTGGTCTTCCCAATGAACTACTTAAGCTACCATGACTAACAAAAAGAGGAAGCCCTTCCAGTCCACCTTTATACTGCCAACCTTTAAAATTTCAAGTAAGAATCACACAATAAATACTCCACCCAGGCTGATCCCATGCGTCCCCAACCTCAGGCACTGCCACTGGTTTATCCTTCAAGGCCATCTCCCCAACTCCACTCACTCGCTAAGTGCCTGAGGGTCCTTCTGCATCTGTTCCAGGATGAGCCGCATGGCTGGGTCACTCATGATCTGCTGCACCTCAGGGTCGGCCATGGCCCGTCGCTTCACATCTTCGGGGCTGTCGTGTCGGTTGTACTGGGCCATCATACAGCGTTGGTAACCATCTGCTGCCTCCTGCGTTCCAGCAAAGCCAAAGGGGGAGGGTGTTAGCACAACCTACCTCACTGCTTCAGTAGGTAACTGAGAAGGGCTGAGACACACACACACAGAATCAGGTGAGAGGCAAGCATCAGTGAATGACCATGATAAAGACCCGAAGGAGAAGCGGGGGCAGGGGAGAGCTTCCTGGAAGCCAGAAGCAGCCCACCTTACAGTTGGAGTCCAGCTCTAGTGCCTTCTGGTAGACATCCATCGCTTTTGTGTAATCCTTCATGGCTTCCAGGGCAGCTGCTTTCCGGGTATAACCCTTGACTGCAGACAGAATGGGAAAGGTGAGGCCTTCCCCAAATGCAGCTCCCAGGCTGCTTCTCTCCGCCCCTCCCGAGCTGCTGAACGTTACAGCTGCGGGACACACAGGCATGTTCCCGCCTTTCCATCTTTTGACCAGGATAAAGGGATGGAAGAGGCAGCATAAAGGCACTTACTGAAGGATGGCTCTAGCTGGATACATTCCTCACAGTCCTAGGAAGAAGAGGCAAAAGGAATTAGGCTCATTCCTTTCATGAGCTACTTCAAGGCAGACTGCTCCTTTGGAATGACAAACTGATCCATCACCCAGAGCCCTTACAAAGGATTCTACTTTTGCTTCTAGTGCTCCTGTCAATCCTGGCATCTGGGTGGATTTAACAGCAGCCACAGCAAAAGGAGGGCAGAGGAGTGAGTTAAGCAACACCACAAGGGACAAGTCCACGTTAGGGACCATCCCATCCAAGTGGCCTGGACTTTTCAAAAGGCTGATGACTGTGCGCGCGCGCACACACACACACACACACACACACACACACACACACACACAGAGGCCCTGGCCGTTTGAGTGGTTAGAATGTCAGCCATGCACTGAAGGGTCACAAGTTCGATTCCTAGTCAAGGCCATGTATCTGGGTCGCAGGTTCACTCCCTGGTCCTGGTCGGGATGTGTGTGTGAGGCAGCCAATTGATGTGTCTCTCTCACATCGCTGTTTCTCTCTGCCTCTCCCCACCCTCTCCCCTCCACTCTCTCTAAATATCAATGGGTCCGGCCAGTGTGGCTCAGTGGTTGAGTGTCGACCTGTGAACCAGGAGGTCACGGTTTGATTCCCAGTGTGGGCACATGCCCAGGTTGCAGGCTCGATCCCCAGTGTGGGATGTGCAGGAGGCAGCCAATCAATGATTCTCTCTCATCATTGATGTTTCTATCTCTCTAGCCCTCTCCCTTCCTCTCTGAAATCAATAAAAATAAAAAAAATAAAATCAATGGAAAAAATATCCTCTGGTGAGGATTAACAAAGCAAAACAAAACAAACAAAAAAACACACACACACACATAAAAAGAAACAAAAAACCAAAAGGTGGGGAAGCTTCCAGTTTGAGAAACTAAAGAACATGACAACCACATGAAAAGCATGGGCTTTAGAAACTAAAACTTTAAAACATATTTTCAGACAAGTAGAGAAATCTGAATATAGACACAGAGCAGATGGCATTGCAGCCTTAGTTTTGTCATCATCAGGTGCCAGACAGTTAGGGGGCGACCAGGCTGGCAGGGGGACAGTTAGGGGGTGACCAGGCTGGCAGGGGGGCAGTTAGGGGGTGATCAGGCAGGCTACCAGGTAGCAGGCAGGCAAGCGGTTAGGAGCCAGTGGTCCTGGATTGGGAGAGGGATGCCCAACTGCTGGTTTAGGCCCCATCCCGCAGGGATCAGGCCTAAATCGGCAGTTGGACATCCCCTGAAGGGAACCAGATTGGAGAGGGTTCAGGCTGGGCTGAGGGACACCCCCACCCCTGCACGATTTTGTGCACCAGGCCTCTAGTTGTTGAACATAGGTGAAGAATACACAGGTATTCTGTGTACTTTTGTTTGAAACATCTTCAAAATATACAATTATGTAAAATAGAATGTGCTACACAGTGTAGTTTCCACAGCTAGGTTTAATTCCTCCTCTTCCACCAAGAAACTTTAAGACCAGAAGTAAATCCATTCATTCTTTCCTTCCGTTTGCATGAGTGGGAAAGTACTGCTCCACCTCACAGGTGACTGATGTCTCTAGGCCACAGATCCAGAAGATAATGGCAGCAAAACCAAACCATCATGGACTCAGGTGTTTCCAGATAGACCACATTTTTTTACCTTCCCACAAAATGTTCCTAGATTGTCTCCTAGAGAAGTTAAAAAATAGCCAGGAGGCACAGAGCAGCTTCTGCTCAAGAGAGCAATGGGGAATAATTTCTCCACAATGTCGAACGTATTCAAATAACTATTCTCAACATGACTGAGAACAGCAGACCTGCTAAGCTAAACATCAAAAAGTGAAGAATGGCCCTAACCGGTTTGGCTCAGTGGATAGAACGTCGGCCTGCGGACTGAAAGGTCCCAGGTTCGATTCCAGTCAAAGGCATGTACCTTGGTTGCAGACACATCCCCAGTAGGAGGTGTGTAGGAGGCAGCTGATCGATGTTTCTAACTCTCTATCCTTCTCCCTTCCTCTCTGTAAAAATTCAATAAAATATTTAAAAAAAAAAAAGGTGAAGAATGGTAAAGCTGCTGTGGAAAATATGGCAGTTCTGAAAAATCAAAAAACACAGAACCATCTATAATCCAGCACTTCAACTGTTAAATACGAAAGAACTGAAACTAGGAGCTTGAACAGATAATGTACACTCATATTCATAAGAGCATTACTCACAATAGCCAAAAACGGAAACGTGTATCAACAGATAAATGGATAAACAAAAGGTGGCATATACTTACAATGAAACAGTGTTCAGCCTTAAAGAGGAAAGAAATGCTGATACATTCTATAACATGAACCTTGGCGACATTATGCTAAGTGAAATAAACCAGACACAAAATAACAAATATTGTTTGGTTCCAGTTACATGAAGTACCTTGAATGATCATATTCATAGAGACAGAAAGTAGAACAGTGGTTGCCAGAAGCTGGGGGAAGGGCAATGGGGAGGATGCAGAATTTCAGTTTGGGAGGATGAAGAAGGTCGGTGATGGTTGTACAACAATATGAATCTACTTGATGCCACTAAATTGTACACTCAGAATGTTAAAAAAAGGCAAAATGAAACAAAAACATATGTGGGGAAGGGTTATGGGGAGATAAAAAAAGATCAGAGGCCAGGTTAGGTGGGAAATGATCCACTTTCCCAAATACTCCCAATCACTAACAACATCATGGGCAGGACTGGAAAAAGATAGGTCCTGTATGGGGATGGGCAAAAGCAGGGTGACAGTTGTTCGAAAATAATACAGTAATTAATAAATAATACAAGAATAAACTGTGTTTCGCATACTCACAACTGTAAACTTACTTTTGCCCACCCCTGTATTCACAAACCTCACACATACACCACCACCATCTTGAATCTATAATCAAAACAAGAACAGCAAGCTGATGTTGATGAAAGTGTGAAAAGAGAACACACACATTCCTACGTACAGGTCACAAAAATGGCCACTCCACAGACCCTCTTACCTTGAGTGCCAGCTGAAACTCCAGGAGTTTGGTGTAGCAGGCAGCTCGATTGCTGTACAATTTGGCATCTCGTGGGTTCCGTTTGATAGCTTCTGTGTAATGCTTCATGGCTTGGGGATAGTCCCCTGAATAAGGAAAAGAGAAACTTAAAAAAAAAATGTATAAAGCCACCTGCCCCCACCAGGGCATATTTACCCTGCAGTCAGCCGAGGCCCAGAAAGCACGTTTACACCACTCTCATCCAAAAGTGCCACCATCCAGGCTGTAGATACCTTTCTGGAAACATTCATTGCCTTTGTTCTTCTCCTCCAAAGCCAGGTCAGGGTTTATGTAGGCCAGCCGCTCTTGCTCCTTTAAGATTTTCTCTGCCTAAGAAAACATAATTCTTGGAATAGTCATTTAAATTCTTAGAAACATAAATATTGGGCTTAAAAAGCCAGATTAGAATTTTAATTTTCAAAGAGTACTGCTGGCAAGATTTAATTTTTAAGAATTTTATATCCTCATTTTCAAGGTTCATTGTGAAACAGAATGGTATTGACATACACTTGGTACAAACATATGCCCCATAGGAAAATGGTGCATGTGTTAATAGCACAAGTAATTTTCGACTAGTATTTTTGTGAATACAGTCTCCCTCCTACATAAATTATGACAACTGGCATAATACACAACACTTGGGGTATGTAAGAAAAATCTTAAGTTATACATCATTAAGTGATAGGGCAGCGTCATATAATACGACTAGAGACACTACTTAAAAAAATTAAGGTTCATTATTAAATGACAATAAATAAAGTAACAATAGATTAAGAGATAACAAAACAGCCCTTCTTCCCCACCCACCTGTTGGCATTTCTTGAGCACATCTGGTGTTCGGTGCTCTGCCAGAGACTTGTTGTAGAAATGGATGGCATCCTTGTATTTTTCTTCTTTGAAGTAGGAATTGCCAATTCGTGCGTAAGCTCTGGCAAAGACAAGAGGAAAAAGAACTTGCTAAGGGGAGAGCAGACACAAAGCCAGCCCCTGCAGAGAAAACACATCTACAACTAGAAACAAGGCCCACACCACTGCTCAGGCACTGTGCCCCTCCGACACCTTTTGTCTTGACTCCTGCGTTCTCCTTTCCAGCCTGCTATTGACAGATACTGGACGACAGACCACACATTCTGTGGCCAGCAACCCTTCTCCCCACGCATTTAAATTAAATCTTGGACATTCAAACCTCTGAACCACTCAAGTACTCCAGAAGTCGAGCGTACCTGGCGATCTGTCGGTAGTCTTCCCGGTTTTCTCGCCCCACTTCAATGGCCTTCTCACAGAGCTCCCGGCATTTGCTGTAGTCGCCCTTTTCGAAGTACACGGCTGCCAGGCAGGATGGTTAAGAAGGAAGAGTCAGCCCTTGCCTCTCCCTGAGGTCCGCCTAACAACGCACTTGCCCCTCTTCCTGGGCCTCACCTGCTTGATTGGTCAGGTAAGTCATGTTGGTGGGGTCCAGGTCCTTGGCTCTGTCGTAGTGCTTCAAGGCTGTGTCAAAGTCTTTCTTCTTGTAGGCATCATTTCCCAGCTCCTTTTCTTTCAGTGCCTAGATGAGGTACGAAAGAAGTAAGTGCCAAGCAAACCTGACCAAGACGGCAAAAAGAGCAAGAGCCTGTGACCTGCCACAGGCACTGAATGGCACCTGCTACAACCAGCTATCGGTTTTAAACAGTGAAGTACTAGCTGTTCAAATGAGAAGCTGAGTTTCATCTCTGCTTCCTCTGAAAGTCCCTTTTCCACCTACGCTCCTGGATCTTTGTCAGAAAACAGAGGGCCTCTTCAGGGAAGAGGAAAGCCCTTCAACTTGAATCGCCTTCAAAGAGGACAGCATAGTTTGTATCAGGTTTGACTGTGAGAGGCTGCACCAAGTCCAGTTTCTGCTGTGTGGCTGTCTCAGGTCTCAGTTGTCAACGAACAGCAGCAGATGGGGTGGTGAGAGGATTAGAAAGGGCTGTACTGGTGGCACGAGTCTTCAGTACAGCTCACTTACCACCCCCACTGTAGGGCCTTTTTTCCAGCTTTGAGACACCCCAAACAACCAATGCTTACCCAGTGGAAGATGCTAAATCTGGCAACAACCTGCTGTTCTCATTTACAAGAAGGGAAATAAAATCATTTAGGCACTTGCCTCCTACTCTGGAAGACATGCAGCTAAGTGGACAACCTTTAATTACACACTCCGTCCAACCAGAACAAAGAAGCAGAAGCCTAAGGATTGATATAGACAACATTCTTCTGGATCGTGGCAAGGACAAGGATCTCTCACAACTTTACTGGTCTGCCCTGGTCAATATTCAAACCGGCAGAACCACAGTGGCTGTGGACTATGAAAGGGTAGCTAGCTCCCACTGTCATAAGTCTTTGAGATACATGATTCCTATGAAATCACTTGTACCACTTTAATAAATAATAAGCTTAGCACACACTAAACACTCAAAAATATACAGCCACCCAAGGTCTATAGATGTTCCCACCTGACATACCTATGTTGACTGGGTTGTTTACAATTATATGATAGTAACGAAAGAAGAAACGAGACCTGCTTCTTGTTCTCTGGAAGATCCTCTTCCATTGGTTCTGGTTTGGTCTCCTTTTTGGGAGGAGGTGGTGGCGGAGGTGTAGCAACTTCTTCCTCATCATCCATACTGCCCAGATCAAATCCAAGGAGGACACTGAGAGTAGTCATGATCCGGGGATCTTGCAGTTTCCTAGTACAAAACAAAAAAGGAAAAGTAACAACCATTCTTCCCCACAACTGATCTTTAAATTACCACTTACTGCGAAAGCTCAGACTACTGTATACAAAAGCTTCTCACCCATCAAAAGAGTGCTAGATTCTGTACTTATGAGTTACAACTGGGAAATATTCAACCCTTCAAAAATCCATCTAAAATGAGGTAACGGAGGTAGATTTATTTCTTGAGTCAGCAGATATAGAACTGAGTTATATGTATACTTCTTCTGATTTCAGAAGTCAGAGGAGTTCAGAGAGACAGATACTAGTATAAGATTTAGAGATACCTCTTTACACCTTACATTCTTTTTCTTTCTTTTTAAAATATATCTTTATTGATTTCAGAGAGGAAGGGAGAGGAAGAGAAAGATGGAAACATCAATGATGAAAGAGAACCATTGATTGGCTGCCTCCTGCATGCCCCGCATTGGGGATAGAGCCTGTAACCCAGGCATGTACCCTGACCAGGAATCGAACAGTGACCTCCTGGTTCATAGGTTGACGCTCATAGGTAGGTATTTTTCTTTAAAAATAAAAATAAATATAAATATTATTTTGATTTTTTAGAGAGAGGAAGGGAGGAAGAGAGAAAGAAACATCCATGCGAGAGCGAGACATCCATTGACTGCCTCCTGCATATCCCGACCGGGAATCGAATTAGCAACCTTTCGGTGCATGGAACAATACCCAACCAACTGAGCCACACCGGCCAGAGCCTGACATTCTTTTTAACCTTGAGTTTCCACTTTGATATACCAAACAGCAGGGCTTATGTCTATGGAAAGGATATGGATGGTGTCAGGTCAGAATTGTAGGAGAGCAGTGAAGAGGCATGTGAGGGTCAGAATGAACATTCCAGATTATGCTACTTTATGCTCTGCAACCCTTTCTAGAAATACAAACAAATGAAAAACCAACAACTCCTACTGCTCTTTGGGGGAAAAAGCAAAGGCAGAAATCCTGCAGTTGGATCGAGGGAACCCCTCCCATAGGATCCTAGGAAGAAAACATCATGTTCACATCCACTTCCAGAGATAAACCGCTGCCTGAACTTACGTGCCCAGATCAGATGGCTTGTTTCGCAGTTGCTCTATCAGTACCCGGTAGGTAGGATCATTGAGCAGCGCCCTTGTCCTGGGATCGCTCTCCAACTTCTGGTACAGATTGGGCATGTTGAAAGGGTTCATGAATTTCCTCTCTGTTCCAAACAAAGTGCATCGGTTCACTCAAGTTACTATGCCCCTGTAGCTTACTGACACTTCAGGGGGGAAAAAGCCCCCAAATTAATCCCACTTTAAAGATAATG